GCAAACATACAGAGATACAAACATACAAACATACATGCATACAAACAAACATAGATCAAAACATATACAAGCATACANACACACATAAATACANACATTCACATACATACAAACAAACATACATACTATGTTTTTATTACGGCTTGATCTTGAAACATTTTAATCGTTACCATGTTTCATAATTGGATTTAATTATTATCGTTATAATAATAATAATTTTAATTACTTTTATTATAATTATTATTATTATTATAACATGATAATTATTATCATTACTGTTGTTTGTTATTATATATATAATGGCCCTATTATTATTATCGGCTGTAGACTTAATTCCTATTAAATCCCTCCAATTATGCTGTTCATTCATTCTTTCATTCATTCTTTCGTTCATAAATACGTACGTACATACACACATGAAAACCTACAAATATACAAATATACATACATACATACATACATACATACATACATACATACGTACGTACGTACGTACGTACATACATACATACATACATACATACATACATACATACATACATACATACATACATACATACATACATACATACATACATACATACATACATACATACATACATACATACATACATACATACATACATACATACATACACACATACATGCATACATACACACATACAACGAACAAATATACAAACATACACACGCACATACGTACGCACGTGCACGTATGTATTGCTGTTGTATAGTGTTGTATTGTTGGTTGGCTTATCTAATGTAATACAGAAAACACACTGTGATCCGGCCCAGATTGTATATCTGTGCGTGTGAAGAGTGTGTATACGTGTGTATGTATGTGTGTATGTATATGTGTATGTATATGTGTATTTTTTATGTGTATTTTTTTCCAAAATTTTATTAACATCAAAGGCAATCAAGAAGTTATAATGAAAACTTGTGCTGATGTATGTGTGTATATATGAGTGTATGTATGTGTAAATGTATTTGTATATGTATGTGTGTATGTATACGTGTGTGTATGTTCATGTGTCGTATGCATGTGTGAGTACAAATGTGTGTATTTATTCATATGTATATGTGTGCGTGTTTGTGGGTACGTATGTATGAATGATGATGACGATGATGATAATTACTTCCGGCTTGTTATTTAGTTTTTTTCTGGTTATCAAATGCTTGTAATTTGCGTCTGTTGTGACTTTTAAAAAGTAACTTTTAGCTATTTTTGTTACTGTTGTTGTTGTTGGAATAATTACTAATAATTGTTATCATCATAATTCTGTCCTGGTTATGACATGAAACTGACCCTCACTGCCTTGTGAATGATGTTGGATCATCAAAGGCTAGGCCCACCGCTTATAACTGTGGTTGCGTAAGGAAGGGCGTCCTGCGTAAAAACTAGCCAAAAAATAATACTTATGATGACGGAAATAACAATGGCCCTCAGTATAGGGTGCGAAGAATCTCCGGAAACCCAGTCCATGAGGTTGTGGTGCAAGGCCCTGTGGATGGTCTGGCTACTGGCACCCCACTCTATAGTGTGGCGGTGCAAGGCACTATAGATGGAAGGACTACTTGTAGATCAATGGGTTGGAGGTTTGGTACCTGGAATGTAGGCACGTTGACAGGAAGAAGTTTGGAAGTGGTGGAGGAGCTGCAGAGGAGAATGGTTGACGTGGCTGCATTACAGGAGATCAGATGGAAGGGTGAGGGTACAAGGTTTGTGGGGGCTAAAGGTGGAAGATATAAGTTGTGGTGGAAGGGGGATGATGGTACGGGAGGAGTTGGTGTGATGGTAAGAGAAGAGTTGGTGGAGAAGGTGTTGGAAGTGAGGCGGAGAAGCAATGGTGTAATTGTGGTGGTGATGGTGTTTGGAAAAGTAATAGTGAGGGTGATATCAGGATATGCTCCGCAACAAAGTAGGAAGGAAGAGGAGAACGATAGGTTTTATGATGATATTTCTGACGAGATTGGGCAAACGGGGTTGGATGAGTTTGTAGTGTTGTTGGGTGATTTGAATGGTCATGTGGGGGCGGATGCAGACGAATATGAAGGTGTACATGG